ATGCAGTCAGATCTGGAGGCCGGCTGCAGCAGAAAGAGAAGAACATGAGGAAAAGTAAGGGAGGGGAAGGTCCAGGGTAATGGAGCTCAAGAGGAACAAGGACATAGGGGCACTTACCCACACAGGAGCTGCTCTGTCTCAGAAGTACTGTCCTTGGTGCCAACCAGGCCTGTCTCGGATGTGTTTGTACTCTTTTCCTGTGGTGCTGAGGGAGTAAACCAAGTCCCCACCGAGCAAGTAGAAAAAGGGGTAGTGCCAACTGCAGCATCCCGAAGCATTGAGGGAAGGGATAAGCTTTGGCGGAGATTTTCCAGCATAACTGAGGTATTTACACCTTTTTCCAGCCAGGCCAGTGGGGACATCCAAGGCTCTGTATCAGAGCCAAGAATCCCACCAACATCTACTGCTGGGCCTGGAGCTGCTTGGGATTCCATTTCTACTAGATTTGGTGTCAGGCATGTGGACGGAATATCTTCCACATTTGAGACAAGTGCTTGATCTCCCAATTCAAACTCCTCAGGGTGTGTGGGAAAGCTCATTTCTCTTTCCTCTAAAGCTCCATGCTCTACAATTTCCTCCTCTGGGTCCACATGATTGACAGGGATATCTGCTGCCAAGGCAGTTGAAGGGGAAAGCCAGAGAACAGAGGAAGGCAAGAAGGCGTTACTTTCAGAAGGTACTAAGTCTTCAGGCACAGCCTCAGTCCTGCTGTCCCTCAGGCTTTCCTTGGAGCAATATAGTTGTTCAGAACAGGCATTTGATGGATACTCTAAGAGATGGGATGGAGAATCCTGAAAGACAGGTTTCTCAGACATAGCAGTAACAACTGCTGAAAACCTGTCTTCCAAGCAGGATGCCGCCTCCTCTCTCACCAGATCTCCTGGCCTCAAAGGTTCATTTAAAGATATGCTGTTTGTCTCTGCCATGGTAGCTAAATGGGCCTCAAATGTCATGTCTTGCTGCTGCCCCAGTGGAGAGGGTACAAGGACGATGGTTTTAACTATATAATTGTCCAGTGGGTCTACTGCCTTCTCCAACATTTTAGGAGTAGAGCTAGTTTGGGGAACTGGATCTAGAGGCTGCTCATCGGATTCATGCTGACAAGCTTCTAGCCACTTTGAGGAATGATTGAAATGTTCTGAAGGGGAATCTGTCCTCTTGGCATTTACAGAATCCACTGGAGATGAGTTGTTGCTGCCTTCCTGCCAAAGGAAACAAAAGTAGTTGTCTAAGGCAATCAGTTCAGTTCCCAATATATAATTATGGGTACAAGATATTGTCCAAACTCAAAAAAGAAAAGAATTCTTACTACCTCTGCTTAGGTAAGGACTTGGCTAATCTTTGTTGCTCATATAAAGAGAAAAACATGAGGAAAAGAAAGGGAGAAGAAGGTCCCTCAGACTTTCCTTGGAGCAATGTAGTTGTTCAGAGCAGGGATTTGGTGGAGACAAACAGCATATCTTTAAATGAGCCTTTAGTTCATTTAGTTTGTTCAATAATAGAGAAAGAAAAGCTGCTAAGCCATTTGGGGTCCTTCCAAGTGAAGCAGCCTACATTATAAACAGGCTGGGAATACAGATGCATATCGTGGGCAGATGGTAGCTTGAACGTGACCCCACTCCTCTCCATTCTGAACTCCAACCCACTTCTAGGTGAACAGGTAGGATGGGTCGATAGGTATGAGAGAAGATTCAAGCTCTGTCAAAACCTAGAGTTGGTACAAGATCTTCTCCCGCTTGACCGCATGCAGTGTCTCACACCTGTAATACCAGCACTTTGGGAGGCCAAGGCAGGCAGATCACCTGATGTCAGGAGTTCAAGACTAGCCTGACCAACATGGTGAAACCCCATCTCTACATTTTTAGTAGCCAGGCGTGGTGGTGCATGCCTGTAATCCCAGCTACTCAGAAGGCTAAGGCAGGAGAATTGCTTGAACCCAGGAGGCAGAGGTTGCAGTGAACCGAGATTGTGCCATTGCACTCCAGCCAGGGCAACAGAGTGAGACTCCATCTCAAAAGAAAAAGAAAAAAGATCTTCTCCCTCTTGAAACAGACAAGAATTTGGGAACCAGAGTTAGAAAGCACTTGGACCACAGAGATCCATGAAGTCCAGGGAGAAAGGGCAACACTAACCTGTGCCAGTGACCTAGTCTTCTAGTCCACAGAGCTAAGGGGCATCCTGAACACAGGGGTTGAACCCATTTGGCCCTTGGTATTTGAAGAGCTCTAGACTTTGTAGCATAGAAGATTAAAGAGCAAAGAGACTTCCTCCTGATGCCTTGGCAAGGGACTGACAACATCCCTACTGCTGGATCACAGGGAGAAAGACAACTGCACCTTCTACTACCTGCCAGATTGCTGAACCTGAGACTCAGTGAGCAACAGAAGGAAAACATGAATGATCTTAAGTGGATCTGGTAGCCAGAGAAAGAATAAACTCTAAGATAGCTAGTAAAGGTAGACCCTAGGCCAGGCGCAGTGACTCACACCTGTAACCCCAGCACTTTGGGAGGCCAGGGCGGGTGGATTGTTTGAGTTCAAACCTCATCTCCACTAAAAATACAAACTTAGCCAAGCATGGTGGTGCTAGTGTGTGCCTATAGTCCCAGCTACTCAGGAGGCTGAGGTAGGAGGATCACTTGAGCTCAGAGGGCAGAGGTTGCAGTCAACCAAGACAGCACCACTGCACTACAGCCTGGGCAACAGAGCAAGACTCCATTCCAAAAACAAACAACAAAAAAATGTAATTCTTCAGTCACCTCAGCCACATTTTAAGTGCTCAATAACCATGTGACTAGTAGTTACCATGCTGGACAGCACAGATTATCAAACATTTCCGTCATCCCAGAAGTTCTATTGGACAGTAGGTGTTTTGCAGCTCTTTCAAGAAAGACTACTTTCATCATACTTCTGTTACTCAGGATATCATCTGTCTTTATACACTCTTCTTTCCTCCTCAAACCTATTTTATTTATATCCCATCTCCTTCCAAAAATAATTCATACAGCATGAAAATGAACAAATAGATACGATTAATGAAATAACAAAGTCATGGTCAAAAAAGAGGAAGCCAAACCTTCCTATTTCTGGAGTAACAGTGGCTGTATGTGATGATCCAGTTTGGCCCTGAGCTATAGTAAACTACCTAGTTCTCATTATCAGAAAGAAAAGGATAGTAATTTCTTCAGGAAGACAATTTTCCCAGACAGTTGGTCCTAAAGCCTTTCTTCGAGGAATCTTATACAGGAGTCAAGCTTTAACAGCAACTGACATGCAGCTTTAATATGCAGACAAGTTTTAACAGCAACTGACATGCAGTTTCTACATGGCCACGTCTCTCAAGACCTTTAACAAAAGTACAAATCAGTGAGGGCAATTCTGCAAGGGGCTAAATTAAGGTGATCCAAGTATCCTGCCTTCCAGTGGTGTAACTTGATCCCAGGAGAGTTCTGACTACCTCCTAGAGTGGATGGATATTGCCTCAATCTTGCAGCTGACTGACCTTTCCATAAGTGAGGCCATGTTGGAGGAAGAGCACTAATCAGGGTGGTAGGATTTCTCAGTAGTTTGATAAAGGTCGAAGGGAGGAGGAGGAGTAATAAAAACTTACAGCTAAATAGATTCAGGTTCTCAGTGGATTTCCTTTAACCACCCTAGGGCACCTCTCTGTTGGCCTGAATAGCTGTAAATGGATGTCACTGAGGTAGAAGACTTCATTATGGTTATTAATTATGTTCTAGCGCTGGTCCTTTGTTCCCCTGAGCTTTCACCCTGGGCAAACAGCCCAGTTGAGAAACTGTCCCGGCGAATCTCACCTGCAGCGCCAGCTTGCACAGTGATGGGGTCAGCGAGGAGCAAGCGAGGGGCCTTTTTTCACAGTTGGTGAGGGCACCGGGCTGCAAGATAAGTTCGCGGAGAGGAGTTCTCATAGGTAGTTTTCCCTGAGAAAGAAAGCAAGAAAGAGGGCGAGTGTGAGGAAGCCTGGGCTCTGCCAGCCCGCCCTTCCTCTCTCCCTAAGAAGCCCAAGAAGCGATTAAGAGAGTAGGCTCGCACCCCGGTCGCGCAGAAGCAGCACAGCGAGTAAGGACTCCACGAGCCCCTAACCCCAGGCTCGACCCAACTTTCCAGGACAGTCAACACGGCCAGTGCCCCCGCCCCAACAGCCCGGCCAGCTCTCTCCGCCAGAGCTCTCTCGATTACCGTCTGGGGCGAAGGCGACAGGCTGAGGCTCAGTTTTTTCGCCCGCCACATCTTCAACACAGAAGACAGGCTGATCACGTCTCAGACCAAGTCGAGGACGCCATGTTCACCCGCCGTCTGTGTTTAAACTTTCTCCGAGCTTCCCAATTGGCTGCTCCAGGCGGGCGCGTCCGCTCGTGGCCTAAGCCCGCAGGGCGTGGCAACGTTGGTCACGCCCCCTATCCCGCCCGCCCCTGCGTAGTCTCGCGCTCTCAGCTGACCGAGCCTTCACCGCAGACATCGACGACAGGGCTGGAGCCGACCCTGGCCCGGGACAGGTCTTGTGTCCTCACACCGGAGAGGACCCCGCAGGTTGCTAGAGAGTCAAAGAGTCCATCCCTCCTGCTTCCAGCGGACCCCCTGACATCTATGGTGTTCACATCCAAGTTGTCTCTGGATAGAGAGAAGGAAGCCTCTCCTCAGGTCTCCCTCTGTTCCCTCCCGCCGCAGCCTTGACGGGAAAGAGCTGGCCAGGACTAGTAGCCCGTCTAGTAGCCGAAGCGGGTCCCAGCGACTTCCCTAGGCTTGGTGGGACCGCGTCCGGAATGTCCTGGGCTGTAATGGTCTGGAAAAGCCTCCAGAGTTTCTGGGCTTTTCTTGGGACTTGCTCGGGCCCGCTATCAGTTCACTGGGATAACTGCCTACATGTATTGAACATTGAGTGTGTGCCTGGCGCAGTGCCGAATGCCGTGTAGTAGCTCACTTAATCCGCATAAGGACCTTCGTAGTGAGAAGTACTATAAATATCCCCATTTAAGACAGCAGGGAGCTGAGTCAGAGAGAGCGTGTGTAATTTGCCCAGCGTCCCACAGATAGTAAATGGCAGAGCCGAGCTCCCTCCCTGCCCCGCCAGCGCCTGCCTTCCGCCGTCTCGGATCTCCTGTGCTCAGGAAACCTGTTGAAGATAGGACTGCCGAATGGTAAGTATTAAGAGTGAGCCGTTTGCGATGGTGTGTGTTCCTTTGCACACTCACGGCGCCCTATTTACACTCTGCAAGTCTTAATACATTGGGGGAAAGCAGCAATCCAAAGAGGAAAGAACTATGATTTTATAAACTGAAACGTCCCCAGGGACGGGCTCCTCTAGTACTGTGTTATCCAATACGTAAGCCCTAACCATAGTGGCTTTTGAGCACTTCAAATATGACTAGTCCCAGTGGGAATGTGCTGTAAAGGTAAAACACTGTACACACTGGATTTGAAACACGTCATATGAAAAAAAGAATGCAAAATATAGCCGGGTGCGGTGGCTCATGCCTGAAATCCCAGCACGGGGGAGGCAGAGGCAGGAGGATGCTTTGAGCCCAGGAGTTCGAGACCTCCCTAGGCAATATAGTGAGACCCTTATCTACAAAAACAAACAAAAAATTTTAGGCCCGGCGCGGTGGCTCACGCCTACAATCCCACACGTTGGGAGGTCGGCAGATCACCTGAGGTCAGGAGTTAGAGACCAGCCTGGCCAACATGGTGAACCCGCGTTCCTACTAAAAATACAAAAATTAGCTGGCTGTGGTGGGCGCCTGTAATCCCAGCTACCAGGGAGGCTGAGACAGGGAGAATCGCTTGGACCCAGGAGGCAGAGGTTGCATTGAGCCGTGATCGTGCGGCTACAATCCAGCCTGGGTCACAGAACTAGACTGTCCCCAAAAAAAATTTTTTTTAAGCCTGCAGTGGTGGCACACGCCTATAAACCCAGTTTGGGAATATCGCTTCAGCCTAGTTCAAAGCTGCTGAGCTATGTTCATCCCATTGCACTGTAGCCTGGGCAACAAAGCAAGACCCTGTCTCAAAAAAAAAAAAAAAAAAAATGCTGTTTACACGGGGCGCGGTGGCTCATGCCTATAATCCCAGCACTTTGGGTGGCCAAGGCAGGTGGATCACCTGAGGTCGAGAGTTCAAGACCAGCCTGACCAACATGGAGAAACCCTGTCTCTACTAAAAATACAAAATTAGCCGGGCATGGTGGTGCATGCCTGTAATCCCAGCTACCAGGGAAGCTGAAGCAGGAAAATTGCTTGAACTTAGGAGGCAGAGGTTGCAGTGAGCCAAGACCTCACCATTGCACTTCAGCCTGGGCAAAAAGAGCAAAACTCCATCTCAAAAAATAAATAAATACTGTTTACATATTGAAATGACATTTTAGCAATATTGGGTTAAATAAAATACATTAAAATTAATTTTTTTTTATTTTTGACAAAGCGTCTTTATCACCCAGGCAGGAGTGCAGTGGCGCCACCATGGCTTCATGCAGCCTTGAACTCCTAGGCTCAAGCAATCCTTCTGCTAGGACTACAGGCGTGCCACCACGCCTGGCTAATTTTTTTATAAAGACAGTCTCTTGCCTTATTGCCTAGGCTGGTATTAAATTCCTAGGCTCAAGTGATTCTCCCACCTCAGCCTCCCAAAGTGCTTGGAGTACAGTCATGAGCCACCACACCCAGACTTTTTAAAACTTTTTAAATCTAATATACATATATATATATATATATATATATATTTTTTTTTTTTTTT